GTCAGAGACAGTGCGATTGGCACAGGACAGAGCAGAGTTTAGGCTGTTGTACATAGGGTCGCTATGAGTCGCAAGTGACTCGATGGCACATAACAACAACAACAACATGTTACAGATTGTACTATCTGGTTTTCTTGGCTATAATCTTTATGGAAATAGACTGCCAGGCCTTATAGTTTGGGTCATAAAAATTTTAAATATTCTTCCTGTTATTGTTTAGAGTCATCACTCAAATGTTTGTAGTTTAAAACTTATAAAGTGTGTATGAACAAATGTTTTTTAATGTACTAATGGATTAAATTTTAAGGAAGTCATAAGTGGAAGAGCTGAATTGAACTACTGTGTATTCATAATGCTCTTTTCCTTTTAGGTGATGGGAGCCTGTTGTGAGAATGTTATTGGGTATATGCCCATTCCTGTTGGAGTGGCAGGACCTCTGTTCTTGGATGGAAAAGAATTTCAGGTTCCAATGGCAACAACAGAGGGTTGTCTTGTGGCCAGTACGAACAGAGGCTGCAGAGCAATAGGCGTAAGTTGGTGTTTATATAGTTCCCTATCTTAAGATAATAACACCTTAGGGAAAAAAAAAGATAATAACACCTTAGACAAGGCAACAGTAAATAGATATGGGGACAATCAAAGGATACCTTTGGGGACAAATAGAAATGTTTTTGGTATTAATACATGCTTTTTTGACTGTGTAGCTTGGTGGAGGTGCCAGCAGCCGTGTTCTTGCTGACGGGATGACTCGTGGTCCAGTGGTGCAGCTTCCCCGTGCTTGTGATTCTGCAGAAGTCAAAGCCTGGCTTGACACCACTGAAGGCTTTGCAGTGCTGAAGGAGGCATTTGACAGCACCAGCAGGTGAGTGGAACCAGGCGCTGGTTGATACTTACTTCAGAACTGACACTATTTTCAACATAACTTACCTTCTTCAAATAATGTGCAAAATACCAGTCTTAAGTCTGTCTATCCAAAATGAATACATTTAATGTTTGCTTGGGAAAAAGAATGTTACTCTAAATGGATGCATCTGGATACATGAAGAAAAATAAAAATGTGAGCTAGTCATTTTGTGTTGGTTTTAGGTGGTTTACTTTATTAGACATTAAAGTGAGTAAAACTATCTATATTAAGATCGCTTCTATTTCCATAAAAAAATGAAATTGCTTCTTTGCTTACAGATTTGCACGGCTGCAAAAAATTCACACGAGTCTGGCTGGACGCAATCTTTATATCCGTTTCCAGTCCAGAACAGGTGATGCCATGGGGATGAACATGATTTCGAAGGTGAGCATGGCCAGCATGTATCCAAAGAATGCACACAATTCATTGTGAGGGTGGTTGTCCCGGGAGAGGTGTGCAGAGATAGGTGTGGGAGGCCACTCATTTTTCATTTTGTGTACTTTCAAATTTTTTTATCATGTAATATAAAAGTAGGGAGCTCTGGTGGCCTAGTGATCAGAAACTGCACTGCAATCCCAAAACCATGTGGTTCAAATCTGTCACTGGCTCCACAGGAGAGGGATAGAGAGAGTCTCCTCCTGTGCAGTTATGTGCCTCTGAAAACCCGCTGGAGGGTCAGCTATGAGTCAGTTCTGATTTGACAGTACAACAGTATAAAAGTACATTTTGTGTACTTTAAATTTTTAATCATGTATTTTATATTTTGTAATATATTGCTTAATCAAATAATTAATATTTTTATTGAGAAGTAAATATTTATTAATGTGTCTTATCAGTCATTCATTTTGTTTTTTGGTATTTGTTTATGTCACTTAAACTTGGCATTTTATATCTTATATATATATATATATTCTGAATACTCACAAGGATTTAGAAATGTCTTAAGGTTAGCATTTCAAAGCTATATCCTGTAAACCTTCAAGCTGACTGCAAGAGACTTTTTTTTTTTTCTATAATTATATTTTATTAATTTTCATAAACATTTACAGAGATTTTGGGCTTCCACTCATTCATTGTTGCACTATTCTCTCTACCCTCCTCCCAGTTTGTTCTTGTCCAAATGCCACAGTGCTTGTCAAAGCCAGTTCTGATTAATCTTCTTTGTCGGTGTATCCTTTGCCATTCCCTATCACTCCTCCCTGAGAGAGACTTCACCCTGAGTCATAAGGAAAAGGGGACGGCGTATTCTCTTAGCTACTTCCTGCTGAAAAGGGACGCTGTGGGTTTCAGGGTGAAGATCTTCTCTCACTACTCTAAAGGGCCCCTTTGGCAGTAGGAAACACATAGACTATTATGGAGATTGATTTTGGAATTCAGATGCACTCTTATTGATTGTGCTTGGCTGTACATGTACATATCCTTCAAGATGTATCATGGGGGTGTTGCAACCTAGAAGACACAAATTTGACTAACAAGTTATAAGTACATGAGTCCAAAAATTATGGAAAAGTAAAAGAAAAGATTCTTTCATTGTTTTACAAACCCTCCCCCAGGTCCCCTCCACCATGCAGCCCTCGCTCTAGTCTCCTGTGATGACAGAAATACCCAGTTACATCTCTCTTTTAGACGGTTCTCTCCCTCCTCTGCTTCAGTGCAGTATACATTATTGAACCCATCTTACTCAGTGTCTCCCTAACCCCAAGGACAGTCCCATTCTACAACAGTGGCATCATGTAATATTGCAAGAGACTTTTAAGATACAATTTAAGAGGCTGAAACCCCTGGATGTACAGCCTGTTAGCTGTACTCAGCTGCCAACCGAAAGAAATTCCTCTATAGATGAACCTGGTGATCTACTTCTTAAATGGTTTTCAGCCATTGAAAATTCTGTAGATTACACTTCTCTTTTGACATACATGAGGTCACCATGAGTCTCAGTTAATTTGATGGCAGCTAGTAGTGTGTGATTTCCTTCCACCTGTACCATATAAGAGGTTAGATATAGTTCATACTATGGTCTATTTCTACCTCTCTTTTAATCACCTACATGTAATAAGGTTGTATATGGCCTACATTTTATTCTGGTGGTATTTGGTTAGCTGTCAGATAGTAAAATAAAACATTAAAATCAAGTTAGGGCTTTTTCAGTGTCTTTTCTGAAATGACTATCTGTGGCTCCCTCTGGTGGCACCAAGGAATGGAGTTGGCTAAGTCAGGCTGACAATCAGCAGAGTCCCATCATTTTCTACTCGGCGACTCTCCATTTAGTTTCTAAGACAATCAAAGGGAGGAGATGGCCATTCTTAATCCCAAAGAGCTGCTGGTGGATCCAAACTACCATAGAAGAACAGCACACCTTTCAAAACACTATACCACTAGTGCTCCCCGAGCAAAGTTCATTTTATAAGTACCACTAGTACTGTGAGGGAGCTCTGGTGGCTTAGTGGTAAGGAATTGCACTACCAACACAAAGGTATACAGTTCGAACCCATCCACCAGTTGCTGTGCAAGAAAAGAGATGGGCAGTCTCCTTCGGTGCGATTTATTTTGAAAACTGCTAGAGGGTCAGCTATTAACTGCTTCCAGCTCAACAGTACATGCCAACTAGAACTCTGACTCAGCGCTACCTAACAACTAGTTAAAAGAGAATGTAGTGCCTAAATGTTTAAGTATTACACAATGTCAGTAATTATGGTTTTGGGTATTGAGATCTGAGTTGTTAATTCCAGTTAACTGGAAGGGTTTTGGTGTGTTACGTAAATGCCAACAGCTGTCCGCTACTGATAAGGCTGGCTAATGGCTGGCTTCTCTTTAAATATTTGCATCTTGTTCTTGTTAGTTACATACTAATCATCAGTGCCTACAAAGAACTTGATTCTCACCCTTAGAAGGAAACACATTTGGAATCTGTACTTAATTGAGAAATTAGTCACATAAAGCTTAATGAAATAGCTGTTACTTTTGTGCTCATTTTCTTTGAAGTACTGTTATTAAATATATTCCACAGCTACAAATAAACACTTTCTGATAGATAAAGATGAATGTTTTGTGCAGTTTAATTTAACAAGTTGCCTACTTTTTTGTCACTGTCACTACTAGGGTACAGAGAAAGCACTTTCAAAACTTCAGGAGCTTTTCCCTGAAATGCAGATCCTCGCAGTTAGTGGTAACTACTGTACGGACAAGAAGCCTGCTGCTATCAATTGGATAGAAGGAAGAGGAAAGTCTGTTGTTTGTGAAGCTATCATTCCGGCCAAGGTTGTCAGAGAAGTGAGTGATCAGATAGATATTTTTTTTTTCAATCTCCCATCAGATTAATAACAGTTTCATCAATTAAATAGTTTAATATATGGGTATTTTACATTAAAAATCACTGTTTTATCTCGCCTAAATGTTTTCCTGTAACATTAAGGTAAGACATTTTACTGAAAACTCTTTCTTGAGGACAGGGACTTCAAAGGAATGACATTCAAGCTTTTCTTTTCTGGAGGTATAAATAGGTCTAGCTGGGTATCACTTCCTTAAATCTTGTAAGAAAATGTGAAATGTATACAACTCTGCTTTCTAGGTACTAAAGACTACAACCGAAGCTATGGTTGAAGTAAACATTAATAAGAATCTAGTGGGCTCTGCCATGGCTGGGAGCATTGGGGGCTACAACGCCCATGCAGCCAATATTGTGACTGCCATCTACATTGCATGTGGACAGGTGAGGGCTCCACACTCCATTTCTCTTCTGCTCTGTTCTAAGTGAAAGCAATGTATTTTAAATTGTTCTGTCTTTTTTCCACACCAGGATGCAGCCCAGAATGTTGGTAGCTCAAATTGTATTACTTTAATGGAAGCAAGTGGTCCCACAAATGAAGATTTATATATCAGCTGTACCATGCCATCTATAGAAATTGGAACAGTGGGAGGTGGGACCAACCTTCTACCTCAGCAAGCCTGTTTGCAGGTATGAAGCAGGCTCAGAACTTCAAGTTAGTTCTGACTCCCCAAGATATCTCCACCCCAACACTACATATCGCTCAACATCAAGTCTTAGTTGCTAATTTGATACCTTTATTGCTCACCAGTCCAACCCATAGTATTCTGAGCTAGTGCCAACTTTGAGTGTCACTTTAACTGTAGCATAGACATTATCTGTGCTGCTTGTCGAATCTTGCAAATTCCGTATTCTTAGTGGTGTCTCATCCTGTTCCAATTTTAGTTGCCCAGGTGCTAGTGGACCGGACCTAGCAATACGTCATTGCCCTTGGCACTAAAGGGAAGCTTGTGCTTTCTCCCTGGCTGCAGATGTTAGGTGTTCAAGGAGCGTGCAGAGACAATCCTGGGGAAAATGCCCGGCAGCTTGCCCGGATCGTGTGTGGGACAGTGATGGCTGGGGAATTGTCACTGATGGCAGCACTGGCCGCAGGACATCTCGTCAAAAGCCACATGATCCACAACAGGTATGACTTAGAGATGCAATGTGGAGTTTCAAGAAAGCCTGATAGTGAATCTTAGCTTAAAACTGTGTTACTGATTGTCATCTATTCCTGCTTTGCCTTTTTCTGTCACAGGTCAAAGATAAATTTCCAAGACCTCCAGGGAACTTGCTCAAAGAAAACTGCTTGAATAACTCAACTGTTGTGAACAGGTTCTAAAGGACTAAGAAAAATCAATGAATTAAAAAGCTTGGTGCAGTATCTGGTTGAAGATAAATAGATGTATGTGACCATTGAGGCCACAGCTTAGTTTGGGACTCTTTCAGGGAGGCCTGTGTCCCTCCTTCCCATAGACAGTCCACAGATCTGGAAACTGATTAGATGCTTCACACACTGCTTTCTGTGGAAGAATCTCAACGTGGATATTACCAGGCTTTAAAACATCACAGATGGGAATCTATAGCTCACTTCTGAAAGGATACAAGCTAGGGGGAAATGAGTCTTGAAACTCATGGTAATCAGTACAAGGTGCTTTCCCCCTTAGGTTGAAATGGATTTTAAATTATATTGTATATGACAAAACTCTTGATTTTATGGTTAAATTATTAAGTTTGGGTTATGGAATTTTATGAAATAACTGTTTCTTTTTGTGAACTAATAATTTCATTTGGTGCTGGTCTATCTTAATTTTTGGGGGGTAGCTTTTAAACATTATTCTTAAGAAGGGGACCTGCTGTTTTGAATAGAAGAATTATTCCCAAACTACAGAATAATGTGTTAAGCAATGCTCAGTAGTATTCTAGCAAGAAAACAAATAACTGCATTTATTGCTGCAGACTATTTGTTCAGAAAAGTTCCACAGAGAAATGGTTCGATTGGCTGTACCACATCTTTCATCAGAGGCTTGAAGTAGAGAGCTTTGCGCTCGTTACTAAACATACAACAGCTCTTAAGAGAATGGCTTTTTATTGAGTATAAGCAAGTATGTGATCTCTCAGAATTCAGAGTGTGGAAGGCATATATTTGAAAGAAAATATCAATTCTCTAAGCCAATCTGAGTTTTTTAAGTCATTTTACTTGGGTGAAAAACCTAGTCTTTTGTAAACAGTTGTATGAAATCTGTATATGTTGTGTGAAAGCTTCTTATGGAAGGAGTTTATTGAAAATGTTCAGGACTGAAACATTAATCAACTGATAAAATAATTGCAGCTTGGGCTGGAGGAGATGTCCTTTAATGTTGTCCAGGAAACCTTAACTGCTTGTTCAGCCTAATGAAAGGGAAAGTCTGCTGAGCACCAGATCAAGAGCCCTGTGAACTGCCAGGAGCAGCCTATGATGTTCCTGTGGCCAGGAGACTGGTGACTATGAAGCATTCACACAGGGCTCTTTGATAGACCCATAAAAGCTTTCTGCTTCCTCAGGGGGTCAGCAAAGGTGTTGAATTGTAAATTTTTTTAAAAAACAAAAAAATTGTACAAGTATTGTATAAATAATAAAGAACTCATTATTTTGTATTAAATCTGATGTTTTAAGTTGGTCTCTGAAAACTGAAGTCTCATTAGGAGAGAAACCTTGTAAAACATTCCAGTAATGCTCTTGGCAGCATGGAAGCCTATGAGTGACTTTGTCTGCAGTATTGTTTTGGAAGATTTGCCTTTCCTGATATATGTAAACTTGAAAAACTGCTTCTTTTGTGACTTTTCAGCCAGTGATTTATTTATCTGAACTTTTATGGAAGTGTCCATGAGAAGTATGTTGAATGTTCATTTTGGCGATTGTAACCAATATCATCTTGCTAAATTAATGTTTTGTATAATTACTAAATTGTATACATTTTGTTATAGAGGACACTTTTCCAGTTTCAGTAAATTATGAAAAAGAAGTTAATACTGATGAGTGTGGGTGGTCACCTTTTTTTATTTGGAGTAACCCTAGCCCCTCAGTCCTGGAAATTTGTAAAGATTGGCTAGAGTAGAGATTGTAATTCCTATGAGGAATTTCATGACCATTTCATTCTCCATTTTAGTCTCAATGAATAAGAACCACTAATAACAAAGACCTAAGAAGTATTCATGCCTTTTTTTCTATAATTATATTTTATTAATTTTCATAAACATTTACAGAGATTTTGGGTTTCCATTCATTCATTGTTGCACTATTCTCTCTACCCTCCTCCCAGTTTGTTCTTGTCCAAATGCCACAGTGCTTGTCAAAGCCAGTTCTGATTAATCTTCTTTGTCACTGTGTCCTTTGCCATTCCCTATCACTCCTCCCTGAGAGACACTTCACCCTGAGTCATAAGGAAAAGGGGATGGCGTATTCTCTTAGCTACTTCCTGCTGAAAAGGGACGCTGTGGGTTTCAGGGTGAAGATCTTCTCTCACTACTCTAAAGGGCCCCTTTGGCGGTAGGAAACACATAGACTATTATGGAGATTGATTTTGGAATTTAGATGCACTCTTATTGATTGTGCTTGGCCATACATGTTCATATCCTTGAAGATGTATCATGGGGGTGTTGCAACCTAGAAGACACAAATTTGACTAACAAGTTATAAGTACATGAGTCAAAAATTATGGAAAAGTAAAAGAAAAGATTCTTTCATTGTTCCACAAACCACCCCCCAGGTCCCCTCCACCATGCAGCCCTCGCTCTAGACTCCTGTGATGACAGAAACACCCAGTCATATATCTCTTTTAAACAGTTTTCTCCCTCCTGTTTCAGTGCAGTATACATTATTGAACCCATCTTACTCAGTCTCTCCCCAACCCCAAGGACAGTCCCATTCTACAACAGTGGCATCATGTAATATTTGTCCCTTTGTGACTGGGATATTTCACTCAGCATAATGTTCTCCAGAGTCAACCATTTTGAATAATATTGCATGAGTTCCTTGTTTTTTAATGCAGCATAGTATTCCATTGTGCGAATATACCACAGCTTCTCTAGCCATTAGTTTGTTGATGGGCACTTAGGTTGTTTCCAACTCCTTGCTATTGTGAACAAAACTGCCATAAACATGGGTGTACATATATCTGCTTGGATGTCAGCTATGGTCTCTTCAGGGTATATTCCCAGTAGTGGAATTGCTGTGTCAAATGGTATCTCTATTTGCAACTTTTTGAGAAAGCACCATACTGCTTTCCACAGGGGTTGCACCATTTTACACTCCCACCAACAGTGAATCAGGGTTCCAGTTTCTCCACAACCTCGCCAGCATTTGTTGCTTGCTGTTCTGTTAAATTTTGCTATTTTGACCGGGGTGAAATGATATCTCATAGTTGTTTTGTATTCATGCCTTTTGTCTTTGAGCTGTGGTGGTGGCAAAGAGTACCGAATCTTCCGTGGAACAAACAAGTCTATCTCCGAGGAAGTGCAGTTGGTGTACTCTTAGAGGCAAGGATGGTGAAACTTGATGGGCATGTTATCTGGTAGGGCCAGTCCTTGGAAAAGTGGAGGGTCAGTGATGGCGAGGGAAGTGGATTGACACACTGACAGCAGCAGTGGGCTTAGGCCCAGCAGAGATTGAGGATGGCACAGGACCAGGCTGGATTCTTTCTGTTATACATTGTACATAGGGTCACTGATTTAGAGCAGGGTCACTGTGATTCAGAGCTGCTGCAGCGGCAGTGTATTCTCCATCCCCTAATGACATGGTGGTGGTATTTGTACATTAAATTTAGTGGGTTTGCTTAATATCAGGTACACTTTTCACAACTTGGTTTCTAAGTAGTGCTATGATAATAGTATAAAAGTATTATATCAATGTCCTAGAGAAAAGAGAAGCTCAAAGATCTATAGTGTCTAGACTTGTGTTATTTCAAACTCTACTTCCTCTTTGAAGTTGGGTAGCAATACATCATAAGGTGGTCTTTCTACAACCAAAAAAAGGATGGTCTTTCTGGCCCCACCAAAGAAGCACCTCATTGGTCATCCACTAGGTTTGATCTGTGGCCCACATCAAAGATGATTACTAGGATATTTCCAGTTTTAGAGATGACTATTTGTCCTGTTCCATTTATTGTCCATAATTATTTGAAAAAGAATACTGTTTTGGAACCAACTAGTATTCTTAGTGGAAGCTTGTGCTGTAACTCAAATCATTATTAAAAGATGATTGTGTTGCTTATTCTGAAATTTTTAATAGTGTATCACAAATACTAGTGGTAATGGGCTACAGGTTCTCTGCCTCTAAATGCAACAGCAGAAAACAATTCAGGATAAATAAACAAGATGGGATTTATTGGGCTGGGGTGATTAGAGAGCTCTGACAGCCTAGGTAAGGAGTCGCACTGCCAACCAAAAGGTATGGTGTTAAGATCTGCCAGCTGCTCTGCAGGAGGAGACATGAGCAGTCTCCTCTCATGCAGTTTACAGCCTCTGAAAGCCCACTGGAGGGTCTAACTTGAAGGCATATAACAATGGGTGACTGGAAAGGAAATGGGTAAGAGAAATGTGTTTGGGAAAGCAGAGCTGTCTGTCAAGGCTGCTTCTGGTTGTTGGAAAATATGAATGAGAGAATTGTTTCCAATAGGAATAATTGGTTATAAGTAGTAACTGAAACTTTAAAAACAGCTTTTCGTATTTGCTCAAGATTTAGAGTTTGGGAATAGAATTGAAGTACTGCCCCCTGGCCTCACTGAGATCCAAGAGGAAAGCCCATATAGCTTGGCATAGTGGGAAGTGGGCCCTTAAAGTTAATCATCTCAGCCAGAGTACTTTGAGGTTTTGGGTGTGGGAGAAGCCCAAAACAAGGCAATTAACATCTAACCTGCAGTTACAGCTGCACGTCATGATAGGTGGAGAAAAGGTTAAAGTTGTCAATGAATTTCTCTTACTAGGATTCACAGGATGACAGAATAATCATCGTCTGAATTACAGTGTTGGACTACTGAATATTCCATGGACTGCCAGTAGACCAGATATGTCTTAGAGAAGGTGGAACCAAGTACTCCTTGGAGACCAGGATGGTGAAGCTCCATCTCATACTTTGTTCATGTTGTCATGAGGGGCTAGTCCTTGAAAGAGACATCATGCTTGGAAAGGTGGAGGGTCAGTGAAAGACCCTCAACAAGATGGATTGATACAGTGACTATCAATGGAAACAAGTTTATCAGAGATGATGAGAATGGCACAGGATAAAACAAACTTCATATCTATTTTTCATGGGTTTGCAACAAGTCGTTGTCAG